CACTCACTATAAGACTCTTGACAAGACGAGGTGAGTTCACATAAATCAAATACCATAGATGTATCTGGTACAACAGAAACTGTTTCTTTGAACACAACATGAACAGACTCTTCCACTTTTTTAGTTCTCTTATTGAAAACTCTATAAGCTTGACCCTTTGTAGAATAACCAAGAAAGGTTGCAGGATCAGACTTGGCATCAAACTTGCCTAGGGAATCACGTGTATTCAGAGTGTAACAGGGACATCCAAAAGGGTGAAAGTATGAGATCCTAGGTGTTCTTCCCTTTAGCTTAAGTACCCCTCTAGCTAAATTAAGCTTAGACAGAGTAGACAACTTAGACAAGCTAACATGTCCTAGTCTCTTGTGCCAAAGAAACTCAGATGAAGGAGAAGTAGCTTGAAGACATTATAGGATCTTGTTTTCATTTATCTGTTCTACAGAGCATCTGTCATTTTAAAAAATAACACGATTTCCATTACTGCATAGTTGACTTATAGACAGTAAATTGTGTTTTAATCCATCAACAAGCAAGACATTTTTTATAACAGGAAAAAGGGCTTTTTCCTATGCGTCCAGAGCCAACAATTAATCCGTGACTATCATCACCAAATGTAACTTTTCCACCACGTTTCATAGTCAAGGAGTTGAAAAGATGTTTCTTACCAGACATGTGATGAGAGCAGCCACTGTCCAAATATTTGAGTCGTCTGTAGGGGTGTATGAATTTTGATTGGTCTTGAAGGAGAGTTCAATATTGTTCAGATCTGCTGATGCCATGAAGGCTTCTTCATCTCGTGAATCTTCTTCTTCCTCTGATTCATAGTCACTCCACGTGGCTTTCATAGCTCTTTCTTTTGCTCTTAAGGTAAGCGGACAAATTTGCTCGAATGTGTCCTGGCTTTCCACATTTATAGCAATCCTGAACTTCATTTTCTTGAATTCCTTATTCAAAAGGCCTGGTCTGCGGAGTACGCAGCCAGTTTTGGGAGGAACTTTTGACTTTGTCAAAAGGGTTAGAGCGATTATAAGAGTTTCTATCATTGGCCTTTTGTTTTTGCTCTTGTTTGTATTTCAGCATCCTATGAAATTTATTACTCACTAGAGCAAATTCCCTATCAAATTCCTCTCCGAGATCAGAATCATATTCATATTCAATTGCTTGAGACTTGAAAGCTAAAGACTTCTTCCGTTTCTCATCATCTTTTTTAACTTGTTTAAGAACATGTTCGTGACTTAGGAGAGATCCAACAAGCTCATCTATAGGAAGAGTGTTCAAATTTCGAGCTTCCTCTATAGCAGTTCTCTTGGGAAGCCATTCCTTAGGAAGGGATCTTAGGATTTTCCTATTTAAATATTTTGCAAGAAAAGTTTTCCCTAATCCTTTTAGTTTGTTAATAAGAAATGTAAATCGAGAATACATTTCACGTATTCCCTCACTTGGAGCCATGTCGAAGCATTCATACTCGTGGACCAGAAGATCAATTCTGGTTTCCTTGATGTTTGACGATCCCTCGTAAGTGCTCTCCAGTGAACTCCAGATTGCTTGCGCAGTCTCGCAATGTTCCACTTTATCATCTTTGATTTAGTTGGACGCTTTTCTTTTGAGCCGCTGTCCAGAGATTTTGTTGATCTACATCCATGGTGACAAGGCCATCACGCACGACAGTCCACAGATCTTCGTCGACTCCCATAGAAAGGTCTTCATCCTTTTCTTCCAGGCTGTGTAATTTGACCCCGTGAAAATCGGTGGACGATTGTAGGATGCGTGACCAAAATTGGTGGAGGCCATTGATCTGGATCTTCTCTTGGCAGTAATGAGCTTGATTAATGACCTGCTCTCATACCACTTGTGAAATGATAATGCACACGATGAAGTCTAGGGATTTTGACGAAGAGAAGTCAATCGGCAGAAGAAGAAAAAAAAAACAAAATCAAATTAGAACGAAATGGTGGTAAGCCATCTACTTTGATTTGGGTCAAGATGAGCCTGCATTGATGAAGCCCATAGACCAGATAGAACTAAGACTGGGCTTAAATCAAGATCGACCCGTATCAAGAATCAGTGAAGAAGGAACGATGAACTTCTCCTTCTTCCCTGTATCGACTTAACCCAGAAACAGAGGAGACCATAACAGAGAGAGTTCAGAGCGACGAAAGAAATGAAAAGCAGAAAGTAAAGAACACAACAGGATTTTTACGAGGTTCACCACAAGGCTACTCCTCGTTCCGGGAGAGTACCACTATATATCCCGAGAGACAATTTTGATTTTCTTTTAGACTTAAGCAAAGAAGAGGAAAGGATTACAGACACAAGTGAGAAAATCAAAAGGCAAAATTAACAGACCCGAATTCGCACAGGAATTCGTTACACCCTTTGATCTTGTTGAACCTCTATCCCAACACAGATCAAAGCCACTAAACCAAAACCCAACCCTATGCCACAAAGAATCCATGCTCGTGTTTCAGTGCCTTGACCCTTCCTCTGTAGATTCTTTAAATACACTTCTAAAGAGCCGTTGGAGTTGAATATTCTGCAAAATATGGAGCGGAAATAGCTTCCGTAACCGCGACACTCAATGCCAGAACTCAAGAATATCTCCCCTGCAATATAGAGAATATAATCTTCAGATGACTTGTCCAGGATCATATTTTCACGAGATTCTTATCCGATCCAGGGAGGTAATTAAGGTAGGGACTGAGAACGTTGATAATGAAGTTAAACCTAAAACCCCACATAGGCAAGACATGCTACCGCTGCCATTTTAAGCCAAAACATGGCGCTAGAGAAGCCAAATTTTGGGACTCCAGAAAACTATCCAAACTCAATCCAAAATAGATTAGGGAGTCTTCTTAAATGGCAAGACATAACTAATTTGACACCATCTGAAAGCATAATTTCTTACCAGGGAGGAATCTCATGTGCTTTATTGCTATTCACAACCCTTTCCCGCTTCTCGAAAAATGTCAAATCCTTATTCCATAAGAAAAAGGCACGGAAGGATGATAATTTGGAACCAATTATCAACTTTTGTGCAAAACCTCCACTAAAAAAAAACTTGTGTGCAAAACCATAAATCGCTGCAAAAATAGGGTGTCATTTTCACTACAGGTTGACTAAAAAATGAAACGTGGAAAAGAGGATTTTGGTCAATCCAATTCCTCTCGTGAGTCTCCCATATTTCCTAAATAGATACAAGGATCCTCCCACTCCTTGGCAAAAAGAAGACGGAAGAAGAAGAGTGGCTCTTACAGTTACTTCATCTGGTCTTCCTTGGTCACAAGCGAATCTGATTGGTAGTTGTTGAGTTTGCTTTTTCAACCTCTCCTTTGTAGCTGCTGTTTATTTGTCTTTGTTCTGTTGGTGGCAGTTTTTGCTTTTGCAGCATCTTGCCTACTGTTTTGGCTTTTGGCTTTCTCTGTACTTGTTCCGCTGATTTCTTTCTTAATTAATGAACTAGATTAGGGCCCGGCCTCTTGGCCGGGAGAGTTTGATTTTCATGTGTATGTGTAGTAAACATTGAGGTATATATTTTTTTATGGTTCATGTTGTTGGGGATTGAAGTATTTAATTTGGTAAGTTCTCCATGAATAATATAGTAAAGTATTTAATGTATTTGACTAATGAAGTTTAAAAAATGACAAACAATTATGTCCAACTACACTAACATAAATACATATTTTCAAACAAAGTCATATCCATATAAAAATGTCAAAGAAGAACAATGATAAGAGTTGTTTTACATCACACATACATAATCAATCTTCAGTATACAATATTTTTTTTTTTGCCTTTTCCATTGACTTTCATGTATTCAATGATATGATGAAACAAAGTATATGTTTAGAGTGTCCTTAAAAAGAAACAAACTAACCGACACATTCATGGTTCCATTGACTTTAGTGTATTCAATGATATAATGAAACAAATCATGCAGATCTCCCGCTAGCAAGTTCAACTAATAGAGCAACACATAAACATCTAAATCAAAGTGAAAAGAAGGGAAAAGCTAAAATCAGCATACCTAACATTTTGGGGGAAATCCACAACTATAAAATTCCCCCACAACTATAAAAGTCATTGTATGAACACTTGATAATGAATTGAACATTTGTGATATATGAGTAGTGAAAGTTAATAAAAGTCATTGTAGCTCTTACTCAAGTTAGAAAGACTTTGATTTAATGGTAAGTAAACAATGATATGTAGTGCTTAAGAGGGAAGATGAGACCTTACATTGTTTATTAATATGCATCTTAGTTTCATAAATTTTACATCATTAAAAATATATGTGTTGAATAGAAACCCATCTAAGTTTGGAGCCATTGTCAAATGTAAGTTATGAGGCAAATGAAAAGTCTCAAGCATCCACATGCTTGAAAAAAAATCTATATTATCAAACATAAAATCATATCTTGCATCAGAAAAAAGAACAAAAAGTAGTAATTCGATAATCAATATGGACACAATATCTAACCAAGAGAAGAGGAAGCGAAAAAACACAAATTGTTGGGTAATGATTCCGCTCACGATATTTTAAAGTGAAAAATATCATAAAATTATTAACCAATAAAAGGGAACGGTAAAGGGGAAAATGCATCAATTTGAACCTAAAATGAGAGGATTTATATCCTACACCATCATATATAATGATATATTATATCCTAGAACATCATTAAAAAAATCTATCTAAATGAAAAAGTATACTAAATTGAATCCAATGTAAAAGTTACGATGAAGATAGATATTATATCCACCTAAGGAATAATAAAGTAAGCCATGTTTCTTAGAGACCTCTCTCGATAGAACCACTTTATTATAAAACCCATTTCGTCAAGCAATTACATCATATAGAGTTTTAACTTATATTTGAAGTGCTTATAATTAGATATTTCAGCTCGTGAATGAATTAATTATATCATTTGGTAAAAAAAATTATAAACTTGAGAGTTATTTCGTAGTATGAAAGTGTTTTAGAACCGTTATTTTATTCATTATTATTAAAATTGCTATTTTCATTATAATGTCTAAGCATGTCTTTTTTTTTTTTTTGTCAAAAGATATCATGTACTGATCGAGAAATAGATAGTTACACCCTGGAAGCCAGCCAGGTCTGGAAATCAAAGAAGCGACTCATAGTCGGATACAAAGAGAGGGCTTTCCTAGCTACCAAATGAGCTACCCTATTGTTCTCACGTCCTACAAAGCGCACACTAAAGTCATGCTGAGTACGAAAATAATGACTAATCTCTTCCAGAACAGCACCCAACCGGCTATCTCTTGTGTCGGCTTGATTAATTTTGTCTATAATCACCTTCGCATCGCCCTCAAAACGGACCTCCGACAAGCCTTGCTCCACACACCAAATAATAGCTTCCCTGAGCACCAGCAACTCTACCACTACCGGATCATCCATGTGAGAAAACTGGACCCCTTTAGCCAGAAGGAGTGTCCGCGCATGGCCAAAAAGAACCATCCCACCAGCCGAGTGCGACCCACCCTTAGTAGCCCCGTCCCACATGCAAACCAAATGTGAATCGCCCACTTGTGTTGGAGATTGCATCCTCGGGATTTGCACCCTACGTGCCTGGTCCGCTGGTATACTCACCCATTCCTCATACTGTTGGTGAAATTGTCGCATGAGCGCCGGGATCCCAAATTGTTTGCCTTCAAAGACTACCCAATTCCGAGATCGCCAGATCCTCCAAAGGACGGCAACAACAGCCATAAACACTGACGGTTGCTGAATCAGCGCCAGCAGACGTTTGAGAAACAAAGGAAAAGTATGTCGAGGCAAACCCTCCCCCAAGTATTCCAGCCCAGAATAGTCCCAGAGTGCCCGCGCAACCGGACAATAAAGAAACAGATGTTCCATTGTCTCCGTACCATCCCAACAAACTGGACACCGAGGTAGAACCTGAACCTATTTTTCAATAAGTGCCTCAGTAGTCGGCAGAGCTCGATTAAGAATTTTCCAAACAAAAACCTTCAACTTCGGAGGGATCTTCGCCTCCCAAACTATAATCCAACTCGGCTTATCCATCCAGCTAACCAAAGATCGCCACCCACCCCTCCTCTTGTCCAAATCGACAACCAAATGGTAAGCCGACTTAACCGGGAAAACCCCGTCGGCCGTAAAATGCCAGATAATCCTATCAGGAACATCCCAACATGGGAGAGGAATAGCTTTAATAGCTTTACAGGTGGGCGGGTTGTTGGAAATTTGGTTGAACCGGACTAACCAAGTCAAACCGGTTTTGGGTTGGACCGACCAACCAGTTTGGGATTAGACCGACCGAACCAATATTCTAATTCCGTGAAGGGACACATCCCTTCAGCCTAGTGGCTGTTGCATTATTTATGGATAAGGATAACCTTATGGATAAAGGCAACCCTTCATATGGATAAGGATAACCTTTCATATGGATAGAGGCAACCTTCCATATGGATAAAGGCAACCTTTCGTATGAATAAAGGCAACCTTTCATGAAACAATGCATGGATTCGGCCCCTATAAATATATGGGTGGGGTGGATGGTGCCACATACTATCAAACAGATTCTTCTTCTTTCTTCCAAAAATTTCTAAGTATGCTTTAGTGTTCTTGAGTCTGGAACCTAAAGTGGTGATAGTTTTATCCTCGGGAGAAATTTCCTGTAACCCAAGGCTTTGTAGAGGGTGGAAATATTCTTTTCGGAAAGTGAACGTTGTTCACGACTCTATCATAATCCTAGTCACCCGGTCTCGGGCTATCGTACGTATACCCTCGTCCCCAAAAGTCCCAACACGGGTCAAACCATTGGCTGAGTTTCTCATCAGACCACCTCCCCCCCCCCCTTCACCAATAACCTCCACCACCAAGGGATCACCCCCTCCCCCCCCCCCCCCCCCCCCCCCCCCCCCCCCCCCAGGCAAGATCCGCGTATTATAACATGGAGGGGGTCTAGTTGACACCTAGGAATCCAGTTAGCATGAAGGAGGGAGACTGATTTCCCATTACCAACCTGTCATCTCAAACCCATCTCCAATAACTGACGCCCATGAAGGATACTCTGCCACCCCCAAGAGGGCCGAGACCTAGCAGTCGCATTCAGGAAAGACCCTTGAGGGAAATACTCGTCTTTGTAGATCTGGGCAATAAGTGATTGGGGCTCATTGAGAATACGCCAGCCAATCTTAGCCAAAAGATCTTGGTTAAAATGTTCGAACTGACGAAATCCCATCCCCCCATCATGTTTACTCCTGCACATGTTCCGCCAGGATACCCATCTTATCTTGGGATGACCGTCCTCAGCACCCCACCAAAAACGGGTCACATGCCTATCTAAAAGATGACAAAGAGTCAGTGGAAGACTGAAAAAGGAAATAACATGAAGGGGAAGAGCCAACACAATGGATTTGATCAAAGTTTCCTTCGCAGCCCACGACAATGTCCGCTGTTTCCACCCCTGAAGTAGCTCTAGGAGTTTTTCCTCCAAATATCTGAAAGTAGCCATTTTGGACCGAGCAACCAGCGTCGGTAGCCCCAAATATTTATCGTGGACCCCCACCGCACCAACTCCTAGGATCGTGGCCAAGAACTCCTGATCTGGCGTGGAAATATTCTTGCTAAAGCACACCGCCGATTTCTCCAAGTTAACGCGTTGACCACTTAATTCCTCATATTCATTCAGCACCTCAATTAAGTTCTCGCACTCCTGCAGAGAACCTCGCAAAAATAAATAAGAATCATCTGCGAAGAACAGATGCGAGACTCTTGGAGCACGAGGAGCTACTTTCACCCCCTCTAATTTTTTCTCCGTGATCGCCTTTCGAAGGAGAGTTGCAAACCCCTCTGTGCAGAGGACAAACAAGAGGGGAGAGAGCGGATCTCCCTGGCGAAGGCCCCTAGAGGCAGTGAAATAACCCGAGGGTGTACCATTCATCAAAACTGAGAAAGAGGAGGATCGGAGACATTCGTGTATCCATCCTTGCCAGACTGAATTAAAACCCATCTTATCCAAAACTGCAAGAAGGAAGGGTCATTCGACTCTATCATAGGCCTTTTCCATGTCAACCTTCAGAGCCATGTACCCCTTCTTCCCTTGCCTTTTTATTTTCAGATAATGCATTAGTTCATGTCCTATAAGGATATTATCAATAATCTGCCAGTCTCTGATAAAACCATTTTGGCCTTCCAAAACGATCTGAGGGAGAATGCTAGCCATCCGTTCAGTCATGATTTTGGTAATCACTTTGTAAACAAACTGGCAGAGACTAGGAGATAGAGAAATGCCCAATGACCGTCGTACGCCTAACGTGCTGCTGAACCTCAATAATTATAGCAAACTTTGAGTGCATCTTATAAATTTGATCACTTCTATTTTGGTATAATTGATTACATCATGAAAGCGATCAATCAAAGAGTCTTTCTTTAAGATTTTGATAAGATTTCCCCTACTGCACAATTAGTATGACTAAATTGTAATAAGATAAACATGTATTGAATTTTGAATCGATAGCGCAAAAGATTGTACTAACTCAAGTAGAATTTTAGTTGCTCAGTACTTCATATTCGCATGTAGATAGCTATTTCGAAGAGTTCGAATATTGATTGAGTTTGTTGAAATTTACCTAACGATATCAATCGCAAAATATTATGCTTTTTGGAGAAATTGAGAGAATATGTTGGTGACATCAAACCTAACATGGATACCATTGAATTTAAGCAATAAGCAACATTTATGTTTAATAGATTAGACATGGAAAATATATTTAGCATTCACATAAGTTGGTAAGAAGTGAATAATTAGGAATAGAAAGCTAGAAACAAAGTTGATTTAATAAATAACAGCAAATGATATTGTGATAAAGAAAACAAATGCTTAGAGCATAGCTAGGCATGAGAGTGCTATATTAAACTCTATAAGAGAAAACAAGTAATCATTAATAGTTAGCTATGGATATTGAAATAGTTAACTATAATGAATACTATATACCGGTGATTAATACCTGGACCTTAGCTTGAACATTGCATCATGCTGATAAAAATTATTTCATTAACTACATTATTGAAATAAGGGGTCGTATGGAAGTTTTGATTGTTTTTTTTAGATTGTTAAAATAAATACATTTTTCATAATACAATACATATGTTTTTATTTTTGTTCATACACAATCGTGAATTATTTGCTTGATTTGACTAAACTATCATTCAAATTGAATAATTAAACAATTTCGAATTTTAGCATAGACTGTCGAGATAATTGGTATCGGTGTTTGTCATGTTTATTTTTCTTGAAATGTATGGTACCAGTGTTCTTATGTCGTCATTGAACACTTCGTTCAACATTTCAATTCAATGCGCAATATTCAAACCAATGATATTTGTGTTGAGATTTTAAAATTATCTTTCATTTATAAGTTAGAAAAAATTATAAATTAATTATTAAAATAGAAAAATAGAAGTATCAAACACCAAAAAATACTTACAGGAGACTTAGCAGGCTAACTAACCGTGATAGAAAATACTTTGTTTTTCATAATTTTAACTTTATGTTTTTGTATTAGTAAAGTACAATAACTGTGTCTAGCCTAATTGGTTACAATTCTTGTCTTTGGTGGAAGAGACCATGGTTCTAATCCTAGCATTGATATCTTTTCATATGAAACAAAAAATTGATTGTGTAGACAAAAATACTCTTCCTACTTTCACTCTCCTTGCAGGAAATTTGAAATGGAGCAATCAAACTCTTTAAAATATATTATAAGTAGTCTAGATTACACCATTACCAAAAAAAAATCATATTACCTCACAAAGTAAAGGATTTCTATTATTCATGAAGATCCCTCCCCTTGCTACTGAAACCACACAAAAAAATCACATAAAAGGAGGAAATGAATATCTAAATATTCAATAAATATTCAATAATCTGCTATGCCAAAACAAAAAAAAAGTTGTATTGTGACAATTTCACCTAAACAAAACTTTTTTGAAGTGTCAATTAACGGTCAAACAGACAGAAAGTTGACGATTTGGATATTAGATTGTTTTCGAAAAGGTTTGACTATTATATTGTTTAAAATAAAAGGTTTGGATATTAAATTGTATTTATCCCATTATTAAATATAAGCAATCCCAATCAATAGAAGTATTTTTTTTAATTTACTAATTTGTCGATCAATTAGGAAACATCAATTTAGAATTTCGAAGTCAATTGGGAATTTCATTCTTGTGACGAGAACAAAAAGAACTGATCAAACCTGTAAGGGTTGTAACACTGAACACTTAACATGCACCCACTTACATTTCTAAAAAAAAAAAGAGAGAGAATGATATAGATACAACCACAGAATTCCAATTATAGTCATGAACTTAATCGTACTAATTTATCTCCTTGGATGCCAGTTATCATCATACATGATCATGAACACTTCCATTCAGCTCCAACAACAGGGTTTTCCCACCCGCCCACGTACAAATTTATGTAGAAAAATGAATATCAATCGAACCGAAACATCATTAATTACTACTTATTTCTCCCTGTTCATAACGGAAGACACCTTGGGCACGTGAACAGGATACTCCCCAATCTCATCCATCCACGGGTTCTTCTCCTTCGCTGGGTCAACCGTCCGCAGCGCCCGCCACACCGCACTATTACACTTAAAACCCGACCCGAACGCGATCTGCCACGTCCGGTCCCCTCGCCGGATCCTCCCCTTCGCCTCGCTGTACGCCAGCTCGTACCAAAGCGAGCTGCTCGACGTGTTCCCGAACCGGTGCAGTGTCATCCTCGACGGCTCCATGTGCCAGTCCGTCAGCTCCAGGTTCTTCTCCAGCTCGTCCAGCACTGCCCTCCCGCCGGCGTGGATGCAGAAGTGCTCGAACGCCAGCTTGAAGTCCGGGATATACGGTTTTATCTTCTTCACCTGTTGATTTAATTAATATGGTAAAGTTGACCTTCTAAAAAAATTCACTCCTTCCACTGTCACTCCTTGAAACTAGTCAATGTCAGACAGCTTATTAGCAAGCATTGTTTTTTATTATCACTCTTACTTTATGAATAAAATAATAATAAAAAATTAATCAGTGTGGTACTGAGTGATTTTTTTTTCTCGAACCTGAAAGACCTTCCGGGCTACGAGGGTGATGAAAAAGAGGAGCTGCTCGGACATGGGGAGGACGAGCGGGCCGAGGGTGGTGATGTTGGTCTTGAGGGCCTCACCGGCGACGGCCATGAGGTCCTTGGAGAGGGAGACGCCGACGCGGCCGGTGTCGTCCTCCTTCTGGAAGACGCAGCTGTAGGAGCGGTCGTCGGCGCCCTTGTGGGTGCGGACGGTGTGGATGAGCTGGTACTTGGAGCGGCGGCGGTCGGAGGAGCGGTTGGAGAGGAGGATGGCGGCGCCGCCCATGCGGAAGAGGCAGTTGGAGACCAGCATGGAGCGGTCGTTGCCGAAGTACCAGTTTAAGGTGATGTTTTCCATGCTCACCACGAGGGCGTACGAGTTCGGATGTACCTGCAGTTGTAAAAGAGGAAATTTAACCGCCGTACACAGTTAACTAACTGCTAAAACCACGTGGTAAACTGTAAAAGTAAATCTTTGCCGGGTCAAACAGACTTTAGGATGATGCATGGCATTGAATGGAGGTACGGGAGTTGGTTGAACTGCCGACCTAATAAGTCCCATAATGTTGAATTATTATTATAACATCCAACCAACTAGAAAATATAATTTTAAAAGCATAGCGGTGGGGAAGACGGTCATTATGCTGCTTACTAAGTATTTATGAGGCAGACAAATAGTGATGGTAATTTTTTATTCAATCTAATATGTATTAAGCGGATAATATTCGATTCACAATGTTATGGGGCGGAAAATAGGTATTACTTTTGTCGTTTTCTTCTTCCCGGCCGTTTTCGATCCGTTTTATCTTGATTGATCTCAATATTCTATTGTATTTACTTTATTTTTATTTATCCTAAACCATATTTTCATCAGATGATACTTTAAATTAGTGAAAGACTTCATCTGTCAATCAATTTCCCCTCAACTAATCTACCTATTATTTCTATATTCTATTTATGAACTATTTCTCTTTGTGTTTAATTTTAAGTTAAAATAAAAAAATTCTTCAAATCATGTAAAACGATGGGTCGACCTATACCCCGACCCATACCCACTGATAAATATTACCCAATATGACTCATACTTGATGCATATTAAAGATCGGCACTACCCGCCCCATTGCCATCAATACAGACAAAGCTTTCCCAATTGAAAGGGTCGACGTTTGACAACTCCCAACCCTCCCGCTGGAAAAAGAAAAATACTTTAAAAGCTGTTTGGCATCCTTGATAGTGAAATCACAGAAACTAACACGTATTTATGTCACTACTGCAACGGCCAACCATGCCCAAACCAGCTCCCCAAGTTTATATGTAGAAAATGTAGTGGTGGACTTTTCCTCTTTCCCCCCACATAATATGTACCCGCCTGACGTACCCTTACACACCGTTTTCAGGGCATTCAATACCATCATTGTGTCCCTTTTCCATAATTTTCCAAACCCATATTTCATCACTCCACCGTCCTATGACCCTTTACGCTAACTACTACCACGAAAGGACAGGTAAAAAAGATCACCCTAAATCGACAATACTCATGTCAGTTCATGGTGAGCTGTAGTTACGCTTCAATAGTACTGTTGTAGCTTATAACGGGTGTATCATATATTACGCAAACACGCAAACTAACGAAAAAATTACTAAATGTAAACTATTCTTGCTTTCTCATTCTAAATTTCAACTTTCGTCACGGTCCAAGATTTACGCAGCTTAAACTATATACAAGTTTTAGTGACACATAACCTTATGAAAGATGTACACTACTACAAGACTACATTAATTATTATTTAGCTGAAGAAACACGACACACATGCTGGCTTGCTTAATCTCTTCCTATTAAATTCACGATGTCAACCATTGAGATTATGTAAACCAACGCAATCTCCATCGGCTTAAGCAAGAATCACGAAAATTACTATTATGATAATAATAATAATGCAACTCCCCTCCCCGTTGTTCCTCAACGTGACATAATTAATTAACAGATAACTTAATTAACAGATAACTTAAATAACTTATGGCAAACGAAATTAATCTTAATTACCTGCAATAACTGCTTGGCGAGATCGATGGAGATAAGTCCGGCGCTACACCCCATCCCGCCGAGATTATAACTCATCACATTCCCCCTCAGCTTGTAATGATTCACCACCATGGCGGACAAAGACGGCGTCGGATTGAACAAGCTACAGTTGACAATCAAGATCCCAATATCCTTGGGTTTGACCCCAGTCTTGTCCAAGAGCTCGTCGATGGCGGTGAACATCACGGCCTCTGCCTCTTTTCTGGCCATGTCCATGTTGGGATTCGGCGGGACCGCCATGACGGCCTCGGGCAGGTACGTCTTCTGCCCGAGCCCTGACCGCTCGAGGATCTTCTTCTGGAACGCCACGTTGTCGTCCGTGAACTTGCCCGCGAGGATGGAGCGGTCGTAGAAGATCTCGCGCGTGCACTCGCGCTCTGGGCCGGGCTTGTAGCAGGCGAAGTCCACGAGGTAGGTCTTCCTGGGCCGGCTCGTGAAGTAGAGGGTGGCGAGGAAGATGAGGAGGCCCGAGCAGAGGGCGACGGAGACGGTGTGGAAGCGGAGCTGGGCCCAGAGGCGGAGGAGGTCTTGGGCCGAGAGGGTGGAGAGGTGGGCCGAGGAGACGGCGAGGACGGGGACGAGGAGGAGGTACATGGCGTTGGAGATGAGGTAGTGGTAGCCGAGTTTCACGTACTTGAGGCGGACGGAGAGGAGGAAGTTTGGGAGTTTTGGTTGTTGTTGCGGCGGCGGCGGTGGCGGCGGAGGGTCGAGGATTGTCACCGGGTGTGGTGGTCTCTCCGCCGCCATGTTTTGATGAGCTTGAATCGTAGAGGGTTTTTTTTGGGTTGAGGGAGAGATGGTTGGAAATGGAGAAAGGCTTTGGGAGAAAGGGGGGAATTTAAAGGCGGGAGGGAAATGGAGAGGGGGAGAGGGAGGATGCAACTACCCCAACGAACTTTTAATTGTTGTGAGTCCCACGTCCAGCTCAGCGCGCGTGGAATTGAATTCCCGGGGTGCCTACTTGGTGTGGGGGTGGAAAGACGGGTTTGGGGTGGTGGGGAGGAGGAATTTACGAATCTGCCACGAGCCACGTGTCGTGTTGTGTGGCGAAGGTAAGGGAGAAATGGGGTTTGGATGGGGCAAAGTTGGGAGTTTTAATTTGGGAGTATTAGTTTTAAGGGAGGGAGGAAGTAAGGATGTTGGTGAACTGTTTGGTGTTAGGTTGGGTTATAGCTTAAATGTGTATAATTTAATATATGTGTTGATGTTGACAAGGAGGGGATGGAAGTCATGGTAAAAACAACTACTTAAGGCAAGTAAGGGCAATATAATTGTTTGGGCAAAATGTGGAGTTTGCTATATATGGTTTTAAATGATAGGGGTGTGGAAAGGTTTGCTCACAGTAACGGGACAAAACAACATTAAGATCGAATAATATTGGACTGAATATAACATGGTTCGGTCTTTGATTTCATGAATTATATGGATATTCAAGAAAATGGATGAAATTTAAATTGTGACTATTTCACCTGATGAAACCATATTCAATACAACGATGATTCGGTTTTTAATCCTTGAATTTATTTTATTAGATTGTGGTTGTCATGATTTTGTCCGAACCGTCTCGGACCGGGCCATTCGGAACCCCTAGAATGGGGAAAATTATTGTTTGGCCATTATTTAACAGTGATGATATTTTTTTTTTGGATGAAGAACTTATATATTTGTATGCCAATTTTATAGTCCGGCCTGTTGTCTCGGAGACGATTTTTTTGGCTAAATTTGCTTTGTTCCTCATAACAATGTTTTCGACATGCATGAAATTATTCTGTATTACGATGGTCTGTAGCGTAGCCGGTATTCAATATTACTGGGTTCCTATTTATGAATAAATTGAATAATATTTATTCAATTGTGTATTTCTTTTCATATATCCTTTCAAGTAATTATTCATCAAACTATAAATTATTTGATTGTTTAACTTACTTCTCGTGCAATCTACATTTGAAAAGTGACATTTCGATACTTAGCTAAGCATATTAGACAATCAAATAAATAAACTAACACAGATAGACATTATAAAATGCATTTGATGACCTAGAAATTAAATCATAACAAAAGAAGTGCATTGAATTAAAAGGTGTTCTTGGTTATAGTAGGAGGTTTATATATGTAGTAGAATGAGAAATTTTTGTAACTACAGGTTAGAAAATTAAGGATTTTCTATGTTATCTAATGTTATAGTATTCTTTATTTGTGTGTATCATATTGTTAATGAAAGGTAAATTCTGTAACAATGGGTCCATATGTCTAAATCTAAATGTTAAGAACAAGTTTATTCCAATAACTCAAGTTATTGAAAGAGGTTCAATTATGGATCATATACTGCTCACTGACACTAAATAGCATTAAGACATCGAATCTTGGATTTTAATTGGTAACATTAGTCTGAAATAAAGATATAACATATGATCACAACTAGTCAATCCGTTACAAAGGAAATGGATTTATTTTTTGAGTACGTGAACAATGGGTTAATACCTTAGTTTGGGCAGAACTATAGACAAACTTTCCACTTAGGGTCGTGGTATCGAAAATTGCTATTCTGGCCTAAACTATATAGCATACTTTCTTATTTGGCCCAGAGGCGGGTTTGACCGTCAAATTAAACGGTCAACCGAGTTGACCATTAGTCAAAGTCCACCTCACTTGCCACGTCAGCTATCAAGGAATAGAAAATAATTTTTTTATTTTAATTTTTGATTTTTCTTTATTTTCTAAAATTAATTAAAAATAATTTGGGCAGATTTTTTAATTATTTTTTCGTTTATTATTTTTATAATTAGAAAGTAAAAAAATTCAAAAATTCAAATTCAAAATTAATTTTTTATTCCCTAATAGCTGACGTGGCAAGTGCGGTGGACCTTGACTAATGGTCAACTCAGTTGACCGTTTAATTTGACGATCAAACCTGCCTCCGGGCCAAATAAGAAAATATGCTACATAGTTTAGGCCAGAATAGCCATTTTCGATACTACGGACCAAAGTAGAAAGTTTGTCTATAGTTCGGGCCAAACTAGGGTATTAACCGTGAACAATTGAGGATTTGAAAATCGGGGGAAATAAAATTGTGGCCCTTCTCTAATTTTTCTACAATTTCGGCATGTTGCTGCAATCCATATACAGCAAGAAAAGGGTTGGACAACTCTAGTCCCTAGCTAGGTCATGAAAAAGGGGGAAGACAACTAGGCTCTTCTCTCTTGTTTCCTCCATTTGGGAGACAAAGCTTTTCGAGGCAACACAAGCACACAACCACACCAGTAACTTCTTTGTCTACCATTGCTCCTACTTTATTTGCCGCTTGTTCCATGACCCTAAACTGTAGCTCACACAAGAAACTATGTATATCAAAATCGAAAGTAACAAACCATGTTTCCTTATGAAAAACTAGGGTTTGTCTAAAAACTCTTGCATCCAAAACCACAAAATGGCTTCCTCCTCATATACATTGAAACTCCGAGTCCGACTACAACTCGTTATCAGCGTACTAGCACTCAAAACCAAACTCAAAAGACTCCACACAGATTATCACTTGTCTCCCACTCAAACTCACATTAGGAATTCAGAAGAAAAATCTAAAGACTTTGTGCCGACGAAAGAGAAGGAAAAAAACGCTATCCGCGACTCTCACGCAGCTCGAGAGGAATCAAATGTGGGGCGGAGATGATTGATTGTTCTCGTACAAGTTATTTTTAGCCGTGAGCAAAAAGAGAGCAATTTTTTGGGTAAGTGAGTAATTGAGAAGATGAAAATCGGGGGAGAAAAAAAATAAAAACTTGGGTCTTCTCTAATTTTCGCTCAATTTGGGCGATGTTGCTACTTGCTACTATACATAAACCAGGGGCGGAGCTATGTAGGCTCTGCCCCCCCCCCCCCCCCCCCCCCCCCCCCCCCCCCCCCCCCCGAATTTTGAAACTTACATATAAAGTCGTAGTAAATTTCAAAATAAACCAGGGGCGGAGCTATGTAGGTTCCCCCCCACCTCCAGAATTTTGAAACTTACATATAAAGTCGTAGTAAATTTCAAAAGTTACGTATACACTAATATAAAATATAGATAGAATCCGATTGCAAATTGTTACCAAGATATATTTACAGCCTAGTGGTGACTGGTGAGAATGCATTTTTACATCTAAAAGCTAACTGGTTAACTGGTTCAAGTCTGGTAGGCGGCAGTTTTACCTTACTATTTTATTAGTGATTTTTTCCAGTTCAATCCTTTAATTTTCCTGCTTTGTACAATTTCAAATAACGTCATTCGAGTTCTTGAACTTCTACATTCATATTTTCAAGGATTTTTTATATTTAATTAATTAATTTGTACAAACATTAATATAATCATAAAATCATATTCAATGCATAATAAAATTGAAAAAAATTACATGATACATTTATTCCTTAGTATAATCATTTACTTTGAGCCTAACATACAAGAAAACTTTAAATTAATTATATTTTGAGTGCTTTCGAGTATTTTAATTAATGTTATATTGTTATATACTTATATATATTACTTTTTCTTTTATCTTGACGATAATGTACAAAGTTACTCCGCCCCACCCCCCGCGAACTTTAAATCATGGCTCCGTCCTGACATAAACAGTAAAAAAAAAAACAAAAAAAGTGTTGGACAACTCTAGCTTGTAGCTAGGTCATGAAAAATAGGGGAAGACAATTTTGACTCTTCTTCTCTCTTGTGTCTAGATCATCTCCTCTCGCGAATAATTAATCGATATCCTAGATCTCATTTATAATCGATAGGCCTGCACTTAGGGTTATGGGGTAATTAATGGTGACCTATGTCTAATCTATCATTGGGTCCAAATTAATTAAGGACCTTAAATGAAACGGCTCCAGACCTCCAGTACTAGTAGTACTGTAGAACTGGATCAAAATTGGGGCTCCTATTACTGATCACGACCACCCCACAAATCCAATCAAAATGCCATGGACGAGATCGATCGATCGATCAATTGGGGAAGATGGGTTGGTTGCAACTTACATTTCTCCTCTTTTCATTTCCATATATACCTATAAATTCCTGTCAGCTGTGTTTTAATTTGTGGGCCGCGACCTGGTTGTTCAAATGTTCATCTTTGTGGTGGGAATGCAAAAGGAAACAGAGCGCAGGCAGGCAGTTGAAAGGGAAATAAATGTGGGGTATTGATGCAGATGACGACAAACCAAAATCCAGGGAAGTTGGGGAAGGAAGGAAGGAAGAAAGGGGCATTGAATCAATCATCGTGTGCTTTTATTATTGTGTAGTGATGAGCAGCAGCTGACAGTAGTAGTGAGCGCGCGCGGCAGCTGTTAGCAGCTGGTGGTAGAGCGGTCGGTTCATATATATATGTTGGCAGAACTTTATGACTGCAACCACATTAATACGTGTATTGGATAATACATATATATATATACTACAGTTTGTATTATATACGTACAGGTGCATGCAGGTCGATCTTTCTAGCTAGTATGTATCCTTTTCTTTTGACTTGGGTAACCAAGTCAAACTGCCAACTCTTTCTCTCTGCTGGCTTGAAGTCGATCGACCGTTTTGGAAGACTTCAAAAAGAAGGAAAATTTTGAAGTGTCAACCTAAACTGATTTAGCCTCTTACTCCTACTTATACCCACAGTGGTTAAGTCTTTTGTGTCATGGCGTTGTAGTAAGCAAGATCGAGTGTCGAAATCACCTGCAGAGGCAAGAGTATTGGTTTATGTCTGAAGTGATCTCGGAGATGGAATGGCGATGGTCTATCGACGTCTCATGAGGATCTATGGTGATAACACTGGTGTCATACAAATCACCATAAATCTAGTGCTGCACGGAAGAACAATTAAAGTATATCGAAGTACATGTTCATTATTATTCAACAGTTAGATTGCTGAAGGGACTATTCATGTTGGGCTACTTGTCTATAGAATATCAGATTGCTGATATTCTTACTAAGGCTCTTGCTTATGTTAATAAGCCTATAAATATGTGGCGTATGAACTTTATCTAACTTAACGTGAATAAGAGTTTGATCTCACAATCAGGAAAACTACTTTAAATCATGTGTTCTATTGTTTATTTTGATCTTCTGACACAAACATAGGCATACACTTAGAGTCATTGGCGGATACAAGCATGTTTAGGTGTGACCCAGGACACCCTTAAA